TATATAAGAATTAGTAATTAAAAATCTAAACTAAAAAATTTAGATCATGCAAATCTAAATTTTATAAAAATTTTCTGATTATTTTTGCAACATACTGTATATATCGTGCACGTCTAGAACTAGATGATTGTTTGTAAATTCATTCTCTTGAAACACATGACAAACCTTCAATCCATTGCAAACTATTTGTATGTTCCGATCATATAATTTCCACGAATGTTCTGTACAATACCCATGGCTAAATACATACTTATAGTGTCCACAGAATAAACATCTTTTTCGATGAATCACTGCTTTATCAATAGAAACTTCTGTTTTTTGACATTCATGTAATTGTTTGTTATCATAATTAAAGTGGCTTTTGCAAACCCCTAGTGTATTCAAACCATCACCCTTTGATTTCATAACAATTTCATCCACCATATCAAAATCCAGCTCCCAAATCCCTCCAAGCTGTTTCAATGGTTTCTCTGCAGGATGAGGACATCGTTGTAATGTTCCATTTAAATCGTCTACTATGATGCATGTCTCATTCAACTGCTTAACACCACCAGAATTAAATTCTAAAGTTAATTCATTTTCATGACAAATAGTTGTATCCCATGATGATTCACTATTAGACGTTACATCAAGGTCTTGTGCCAACCAATTTATATCAATTTCATTATCTCGTTCTTGCATTGTTGTTGATGATGAATTGGCATATGCCTTAGCTAATCCGATTGCTGATGTATTAAATTGTATATCATGTGAACTATCGTATAGATTTATATCATTTTCTGTGCAGCTTGTACTATATTTAGACAAAAGTGAAGATGTTGGTTGCTCAAGACTTTCAGAATTATCCCCAATGCTAACATAATCAAGAATCTCAAAGTCCTTATCAGGATCATTACAAAGAGTCTCTCCGTAATGATAAATGCCAGTTGGATTATTCATTAGAACAGTAGTATTTCGTCAGCTAATATTAATTTTATGCCTTAGGTGCCCTTTTACGAGTTGATTCTATTGTGCTTGCTATTTTAATTGAACTAGATGTTTCCGCTATACTTTGTGTCCAAAAAAAAAGTTTGGTAACGAATTTAAAAATTACTTGTGTAACGTTCTTTTGGTTGCCTAGCTTCAATTCGAGATTCTTTAAAGCCTAGTCACTCTATAAATTGAAACTTCACTGTTTAAAAAAATAAAAGGCTAAAACTAACATTTTTGTAAAGCGCAGCAATAAAATATATTTCTTAAAAAAAAGTCCTTACGGCTTAAAGAGAAAAATTCTGTCAAGTAATATAAGAAATTTAATATAAGTGTACAGTAGCCACCCCTGCAGCGTGACATACTCCTGATCGATATGCACATTGCTCTCAATTTGGTAAATGTCATATGATTTGAAGTCGACTCAGAGTCGACTTCAAATGACTAGACTCTAACCAACTCAAAAACCGACTAAACCGAGCTGATTAACATCCCTACATATGATCCGTTAACTAAAAGAACTGTAATTTAATTGGGTATCAATTTTAGTAACAAAACACCTTACTCATAAGTCACCCAGGTGAAAAGTGGGTTAGTTTGTCATTTTCGACATCTGTTAGTCTAGGTATTTAAAAGTAAGCTATTCAATATTCACTAGAAAACGGCAACGTTTTGTGGGCTGTAGCCCTAATTCTTGACCTTAGCTTTAGAATTAATTATATTTAAAATATAATTTAAATTTTGAGGATTTCTATCTGTACCTCAGTGAGTATATAAGAAAAAAATCGAAAATCTCAATATCTCAAAATTTTATTAAGGAAACTTGATATAGATGCCTTAAGTAAAAATGTTCAACCCCTATTTTATATATGAATACATCTTCAATATTAATTCATCTTAACTTATACCAGGTTGGGTAAATACCCTACGAGTAATTTTAAAAAATTTCTTAAATTTTATGAATTTCTATTGCATATAATATTATAAATCTTTGTTCTTTCATTAATATTTTTGTAAACGTGCATTTTTGCTCCAATTTTTGTAATCTGTCAAAGGAAAATGCGCTATTGAAAATAAGGTTAGTAAGAGCTCAAACCCTTGATACAAAATGAAAGACCAGTTGCATATTCCCAAGATTTGTTACGGCTTGTAGTAATGTTAACCTTGCGACTTACGAATTGTAATTGTCCAAGCAAGGCTCAAAGGAAACTGCATGCGGGAACGAGTTCCTGACTTTCCTTCCCAACTATATTTAATAGGTTGGGATACTAATGATAGTCTAATATAGATAACATTGGATCATCAAACACGAGAGTGATATGTCGTTTCTAAAATAATTTATTACATTGTAGACTTGATTATTCTATTCAAAATTTAGTTTAATCATAGTATTTTTATTTAGGTATTTGCTTGTTCTTCTTGAGTTATGTTCTCTTTCACCTTAATATTATCAATATTAGATGTTTGCTACAAGCCTCTTTCCTAATTCACTTTCTCGGTAAGCTAATTGCTGTTTTCAGTCATTAAACTTTTCCATTTTCTTCTAGCTTCATTTCTTATGACTATTTGTTCAGGTATGTAAGTTATTTTTTGCTTTTTCATTTTAACTAAAAAGAGAAAATGACAATTTTTTCTTTTACTTATTAAATATGCTTATTTTCGATACGATGACATATTATGACAATATGACTTCTTATTTCGCTGATAAACTTAAGTATATTTGCTTACGACATATTTATATTTTTTTACTTGATAAGCTATATACTTTTATTATTTAATAAACGATTCTCTTTTTTATTAAAAGTCAGTTAATATTATTAAAAGTCAGCTACTACTGTATATATTAAACCAAGAATTTGGTATATAAACGTTGGGCCTAATTTAGGTTTAATTCTAGTTATTGGAACCTAACATTTAGTCAAGTAAACGGGTGCCGGACATTCTTAAAATTCAGTAGTGTAAGGCTTGAAAAGCTTTACCTCGCTTCCCTCAATTATTTTGTGAATGATTTATGCAACTGAGGTCGTTTCTTCATATCTTACGAGTTAAATTTTGTATATATACTGTATATATTTTTTATTTTCAGTTGTGTCATTGGTAATTTCCCTCAAAATTCGGTCTTGCACTATCCAAGACAATGCTTGTTCTCTCCTCACCTCTCGCTTGTATACTAGCTTTGACCAATAAATTATTAAATAATTTTGTGTGATGTTAACCATTTCCGAATATGGTAATGATAAGAAATAAATTAAAATTATCTAATCTAACAGATAACGATAACGATAACGATAGCTTTATCGTTATTTTTATACGTTATAAACATGATGACTTAGTTCTCAAACAAAAATTTTTGTTTTAAAAAAATGTCAAGCGTAGTTCAAGGTATTCATTTTCAAAGCTTTATTTAACATTTACCTTCATTATATATAAATTCTAAATTCATTATTGTAAATTTATTATAAATACAGAAAAACCTGAATACTATTCCGTTGGCATTCTAACAGGTATATGGTTTTAGTTGAATGGTTAATTTCAGCAAGCAGAGCAAATAATGATATTTCAAAATAAAAAATCAAAATAAAATACTAGTTAGCGACACCTGTTCACGTGATTCAACAAAGGACCTTAGTGGTCCTGTTCTAAAAACTCTATTTTCTGAGACTTCGCACTCAAAAAAACCTTTTCGCGTTATAAAAACTAAAATTGTTAAGGATGATTCCTTCGAAATACAAAAAAGTGTAAAAGATTGGTGTGATGTTGAAAATTTGGATTTAGTAGTAACTACCGGTGGTACTGGTTTTGGTGTTCGTGACGTAACTCCTGAAGTATGTAAATTATAAATTTTTTTTAAAAAAATTAAAACTATTAACGATCTATTAAAATCTAAAAAATTCATTGATTAATAATTAGGCTGTTCAACCACTATTTGAAAAATCATGTACCGGAATTACTCATGCGATGATAAAAGCATCTTTAGAAAAAACTGTTTTTGCTGCTTTAAGTCGGCCTGTATGTGGAATTAGAGGCAATACTATTATTTTGACTGTTCCCGGAAGTCCTAAAGGTGCAAAAGAAAATATACAAGCTATATTGAATGTTTTGCCTCATGCTATTGATTTGGTTAGAGGTGAAACTGGTGAAAATGTTCATGCTCAATTACGTGTTGAAAGTCACGAATGTGTTCATCATGATCATAAACATGGTGATAAACATCAATATTCATCTACTTCTCTTTTCGGCCCCGGTAATAAATAATATGTATATATTTAAATCCTATCAAAAAATCTCTTTACCGAAATATATTCATATATATATATATTTATTTATTTATGTTAGTCCCGCAGCGTCAACGTAAATCACCCTATCCGATGATTTCTGTCACTGAAGCGTTAAATATAATTACCGAACATAGCAATACTTTGTCACCAATTAAAGTTCCTGTTGATGAGAATTTGATAGGAATGGTTTTGGCCGAAGATGTGGTCGCTCGTTTACCTGTTCCGGGTTATCGTGCTTCCATACTCGATGGATATGCTGTTGTTGGTATAATATCTCTATTTTTGATCTTTTTAAATTTATTCATTTATATTATTATATAATATAATATATGTTTTTATTTATGTTCTAGCGAGTGATGGTCCCGGGATTTATCCCGTAGTTGGTGTATCTATTGCAAATACTTCTCATTTACCTGCTGATAAATTACTGCCTGGTCAAATTGCCCGAATCACAACTGGTGGTCCTGTGCCTCCTGGTGCTACTGCTGTAGTAATGGTTGAAGACACTACCCTAATACGTGCTTCTGCTGATGGTCTTCAAGAGGAATCCGTTGAAATTCACGTTCAAGTTAATGATGGTGCTAACATTAGAGAAATTGGTTCGGATACTAGCGTTGGCTCCATTGTTGCGAGAAAGGGTGAACTTTTATCAGCTGTAGGTGGGGAAATCGGCGTTTTGGCCTCTGTGGGTGTAAAAGAAGTATGTTTACTATATTTTTATTATTATTATTATTTATTTATTTTTCGTTTATTAACTTTAATATATTAATTTTAATTTATTACTGGTAAATGAATTTAGGTTTGTGTATATAGACGTCCAGTAATCGGCGTTTTGTCTACCGGAAATGAAGTTATCGATCACAAAAATACTTTGGAATTAAAATATGGTCAAATTTTTGATAGCAATCGTCCTACTTTATTTTCAATTGCAAAAGCTACTGGTTTTGAAGTCAAGGATTTTGGAATCGTTGATGATGAGTATGAGATCGATCACATTCATAATTTTTATAACATTTATAACATTTGGCTTTTCCATTACTATGATATTATTAATGCAAATTGTTTGATCGTTTAGTCCAAAAGAGTTAGAGAAAACGTTAAATACGGCTTTAACACAGGTTGATGTGCTAGTCTCAACCGGTGGTGTATCTATGGGCGAATTAGATTTATTTAAACCTACTTTGGAAAAGTCTTTGGGTGCAACCATCCATTTCGGAAGAGTAAAAATGAAGCCAGGGTAAAATAATTTGACTAATAAATTTTATATTATCACATGAACTATATTAATATTATACATTTTATCTAATTAGAAAGCCGACTACTTTTGCCACACTTTCAGGAACTTCTGGTGCTCCTGAAAAGTTAATATTTGGTTTGCCTGGAAATCCTGTCTCTGCTACTGTTACTTTCTATTTGTTCGTCTTACCTGCTCTTCGGAAATTAGCTGGTTATGAAAATTGGAATTCCCCTATTTTACCAGCAGAGGTAGATATATTTAATTCTTTAGATTTGGATTTTTTATTATGCTATTTTTTTAAAAAAATATTATTATTTTTTCAAATTTTATTTTATAATTACTAGCTAACGGACAAGCTATCACTTGATCCGCGTCCTGAATATCATCGAGCCGTGATTTCCTTTGATCATTCAAAAGGAAAATTTATGGCAACTTCTACAGGACATCAAATTAGTAGCCGAATGCTTAGTTTGAGAAGTTGTAATGCTTTATTAAAGTTACCAGAAAAAACTGATCAATGTAAAGAATTAGATAAAGGATCGACTGTGGATGCTATTTTGATTGGGCAATTGAGTTAAGATTTAATTTGACATTTTCTATTTGTGATTGGTATCATTTTATAGTTTATTATTTTTTTTTTTACAAGTTTATGGTATATATTTACAAATATATTGATTTTAAATGTCTTAGATATGACATCTCAATCTTTTTTAAAATCAAAAATATAGCTTAAATATTTGGTTTTTTTTCTTCAACTTTATAACGAATAAAATTGTAAGATATATATTTTCGAATTTTTTTAATTTTAATTTATACGTTTATATGTTTTGTTTATGCAATTTTTTTCTTTGAGTTGTAGAACGAAAATACTGTTTTCAATCATTCAACGTGTGCGATTTATATTTCGATATAATTAACCAATAATTATGGTAGTGGATGTTGAAATTTCGGGAGGTTCTAAATGTAAAGCATATTAAACTTTTATTACCGATTTTAAGTTCTGCCTCAAGCCCTCCCAAAAAATATATATATTTTTAAAAAAGCCTTTGAAGTTTATTATTATTTAAAATAGTTTCAAGTTTTACATTGTCAAATTTAACTACATTTTTAAAAAATAAAATTATAATTTGTTTTATAAGTTTTATATATGATATAAACCCGGTTATTATTTAACAACTGATATTTAAACCCAAATTTATTATACCTAATATCTATAACTCAAATAAATATTCACGATCAACTGACCCAATCACGTTTGTAATAAGTTTATTTGAATATAATATAATCGAGCAGCTTTTAAATTAACGTTCTTAAAATATTTCATCAGTACCTTTTCTTAATCAGCTAATCACACATTCCAATAGGCGGTAGTGTGTTTGTTCTTCAAAGCAATGTATTTCGAAGGCATGATCTTTGGCATAAATTCGCTTTCGTTCGTATAGATCGTCACAATTTCACTGAATACATATAATACTGTATGAGGAGGATACCGCAGTGAGCAAAATGTTCGTCATCATAAAAAAAACGTAGCCAACTCCTCCTTCAGAATCAGCAGACCCTACTCAGAAAATCTTTCATAAGGTTCAAATTACACGCTCCCGTCTTGTCGTCGTCTTTACCGTCATTATAATCAATCGTTATCATCAATTATCATTCATCATCAATTATCGTCCATTATCAATCATCATTTCTTCTTTTCTTCCTCAAGACGGAGTGCAATTTTTTCCCTATGGCTCAATTAGCTTTTCGCATAAGGAAGTTTTCGGTTAGTTAAAAAAGAAAGAACGTTCACAGTAGGTCGTCCACCATACGTCAAGTCTGGTTACTTGACCGATAACTTTCGCAAACTGTGGCCACGACGCGCTTTCGGTTCCTTTTCTAACTATCTTACTCGCTTCAAACAATATATAAAAATACTACATTTTCCAGTTAGGCTTCTTGGAAATGCACGTCGAACTTCGTATTGGTTTTTTATAACAGGAAATATAAAGAATATAAATAAATAACAAAAACAAAACAAGAATAAAGAGTATAAAAAAAGCACGTTAAAAAGGTGTAAAAAAATAAAACAATTCTTATTACGCGTAAAAGTCTGTTCTTAGATCCAAAAATTGGGTTGATTGGTCAAGTCTTGTAAATCTACACGTGAGAATTGATCAATCAAAATTAAGGGTTGATTATACGCCGATCGCGATCATTTTACATATAAATCGATCGGAGTCCTCGGATTTTTCTAGCAGCTAAAATAGCACTAGTGATATTACGACAACCACATATCCAAATTCAACCAAAATTGATCTACATTTCTATAGAATACAAAAAAAAAACAAAAAAAATTAATTGTTTTCGAGATATTGCCTGTGCTATTTTAGATGCATGAAAACTCCGATGACTCTGTAACAAATCGTAATGCACGTGAAAGTCGAATGACAAATCGAATGCTCTGAACTTTCTATAGCAAAATTTCTTTAAAAATTTTATTACTTGACCCAATACAACAATTTATCGCTTATACATGTAAATTCGAATCTCCTACCACTCCTTCTACAACTAACCTATATACTACGTGAGCCTTATTAGCTCTTTGTTCTAGTAAAATGACTTGTTTAATCTATACACTTGTATCTTTACATGTTCTACAAGAAATTTATTAAATGGAAAATGTGCAAATTGCAACCGATATAACACATCTGAAGCATGATGTCAAACATGTGATACTTACAAAACAGCACAAGGATGGACAAGTGGAAATAAGAATATCGATGATTGTATTCAAGAACTTCAACTTAAAGCTACAAAGTATGATGACGTAATCGAATGGAATATGAAAATGAAAATTAAAATGACGAATGAGTATTCACAGTTACGTATACGATCATGTAAGGTGGAGCTTAAAATATTGACCTGTTCACAAAATATTCAAAATATTTTAAAAAGTGAGATTATTTTATTATGTAAGTTTATTTCATTAATAGTGTGTATACTTTATTTATATTTATATTATTTTATATTATTTTATAGTTTAAATCACGTGCAATTAGAAGGTAAAAGTGTCTATGGGTTAACTCATGATACAATCACAAATGAATTTGGTTCTAAAAGAGATGAATTTATTGGAAAATGTGCAAATTGCAAGCGATATAACAAATCGCCGGCATGGTGTCAAGCATGTGTCCCTTAGAAGATAACACAAGGATGGACAAGTGAAAATAAGGATATTGATGATTGCATTAAAGAATTTCAACTTAAAGCTACGGAATACGAAGATGTAATCGAATGGATTACTTTTAATAAATTAAAAAATAAATACTCACAGTCACGTATACTAACATACGTAATAGAGTTTAAAATATTTACTAGAGCACAAAGTTTATTAGATATGTTACAGGAAGTAAATTAAAATATTTAATTGGGGTCCATATTATTTCACCGACAATCTAACTGACATCTCGTAAATGACAATTTACAAATTATCTATATGTATATATAACTGATAGCATGCAAATTGTCACCCAGGTGATGTTGGTTAAATGGCTTGTCTCCGGTGAAGTGATTGCCACTGTTATACATCGTTGTTATAAAATAGCAACATATAGGTTTATCTTAATGTACATGCTTAATAAGTTTGTAAATAATGTACAATTAAGAATAATAACCTCAAAGTATATGGGCTGACTCAAAACATCACAACGAATGAGTTTATTCTAGTATTGGATGAATTTGGTTATAAAAGATCTACTGTAAATACAAGGGAAAATATGAAATTGTGACCGATATAACACGTCTTACAATTGGTGTCAAACATGCGACCCTCAGAAAACATCACAAGGATGGATTGCATTAAGGATTTCAGCTTAAAGCCACAAAATATGAAGATGTAATCGAATGGATTCCTTTTAATATATTAGCTGATGTTCAAATGATTGGTAAAGGGGGGTTTATCTCTATATTTTCCATAACATGGCTAGATGGTAAAAGAATAACTTCACTTACTTTTAGTAAATACACACAATCACGCACACCATTTTGTGTAGTTGCACTTAAAACTTTACCTGGTTCACAAAAGAATTTTTTAAGAGGTTATCACTTGGCTATTTTGTTGACCGATAGCAAAATTTTTCCAAAAAAAATATTTGCCCAAAATGGTCAAATACATGTATAAAAAATGCTAGTAATATGATTGGCTAATATTATATAAGTTGGAATTTTTTGCCGAAGTTTAGATATTGGCCATTAGTTGTTGTCCAATTGGCTGCCAAAGGTCAAAAAGTTGTTTGACCGCAAAAAAATTGCAACATTTTTGATACGCATAACGGTAATTAAAAAGATTGCAAAGTTCGTATATCTCGTGATTAACCAATCATCATGACATTATGTAAGATTTCAGGCTTTAAATGATCCTTAAATATGGAAATTATTTGAAAGTTTTTAGAGAAACGGCCAATCAGGTTGCAAGAAAAAATTTACATCAATTCAAAGAATATTGTTGTAGAACAAAGTAAATGTATCAATTAAGCCGTTATAACTTGCATGTTTTAAGCTACTAAAGTGTAAACCATATAAAAAAATATTTATAAATTATGTAACCATATTGGAATCATGGATTTTCTCACCTGAATGATATTATCGGCAATTTATCGTTATATTATCATTATCCTGTTGTTATTTACGATCCTGTACGATTCATTTTGTGAGTACAATTTAGAAAAACGTACCTTTCACAATGCTGTTCGAGCCAGTAAGAATTACTTCTATAATACTAATCTAATTATTTTGTTCACATTAATCTCGTAAGTACGGATACATTTATATAAAATATTGTTTGTTATTTTAGTTTGAGTACTTTTAAATTTATAATTTAAAGTTCTGAAGTTCATAATAATTACTTTTAAATGCCAGTCTTGCCATTTTTATTTGCATTAATAGTTCATGAGTAAATACCAATTCGTATATCCGTTTAGATTCAATAATTTATGTTTGTAAGACTTATTTTGTAATATATATCATTAAACATCTTTTATTTGTGTAAATCTTGTTGGCGAGTAATTAAATTTATAATTTAAGTTCATAACGAGAATTATTTTATTTATGCTAGTTTAGTTTAGTCAATAAAATTGGATGGGTGGCACAAAGAAACATCCATCACACTAGTTTAAATCTATAATGCTATTGTAAAAATGTCAAATTTCTGCCGTAGCATCAAATACTATAAGTTAGTATAGGTAGCTAAAAAGAAATTTCTGTAATAATCGAAAATAATTCTTATTCGTTTTTTTTACTAAAGCTAATAATAATGAAATTAGATAGTTTATATTAACTGCAAATAAAGTTTGTTTTTGAATTTAATCATTTTAACTTTACAGAATTTAGCTTCAAATAATGACATTAGATTAGATAAAACTTATCGAATACATAAAACATTATTTAAAGTCCTTGCTCGGCATCACATACATATAAAATAATCCCATAGAAAACCACAATTTCAATTATTGGTTTTTGCACAGTTATCTATTCAGAAGTATCACTACATTTTTGGGAATGACATCCAAGACCAGATTTACACGCCAAACCAATTAGACAAGGATCTCCTAAGTTACGTTCATCCCTATCTTGACACTTGGTGGTATTTTTACCACAAACCAAAGACTTACAATTGGTGTCATCTGTGCATAGTGTATCATTGTCTTGAGCGCATCTGTTGTTAATACATAAGCCATTCGGACCACACGCTTGATGAACAATGCAAAGTTGTCCAGGAGAACGATTGTCACTTTCTACACATGTTATTACACAAACATGTTGTGGGCATTCTTCATCAGCATTGCAAACGTCTCCTGGGAGACGAGTACATCCGAGAAGACCATTTGAAAACGGCCAACATATCTTGCTTGCGCATGCATTATCAACGGAGCAAGGGGTATTAAAAGTTCGATTATCGGAATCTTGGCAAATGTGATTAACGCAAATCAAAGTAGTTTCTTTACAGTCAGAGTCTTCATTGCAAGCTTAAAAGAAATAAAAAAAAAATTAATTATTAAAAAAAAAATTTTCATTAATCGATTTATTATAATAACTTAAGACTAATGATACGGGCCTGCCCGGAAAATATCGGCCGGAATTTTCGGAATGTAGATAATAAGTCAACATCAAATTCGAATTTTCAGTATACGCAGAAAAAAAAGATTGAATCGAATCTGAATAACACATAATCAGTGTCTAAAGGATGAGAATAATTGAATGATATTTAGAATCATTCAAGAGTCGTTCACTAAAAGGTCAGCCCGATCAGCCCGTATCACTATAATTATCACATTTTATTCGCTTAAAATTCACCGATAAATGACCTAAATTTAGTAAAAATTAATCACATTTTATGCGTCTCGTATCTGTCCGGTGTCTCTAATTAAGAATTCAGTGTACCAACCCAAATCGGTATACATTGTATTATACGTATAAATTTATATAATGAACTAATGGGGATTTACTAATTTTCCCCCCAAGTTCCATTGGTTCGCACCAAACATGTCATTTTATCCTTAAAAAGTTAAGTTCAATGTCAGAATTAATACGTAGACGATTTTGTAGCAAAAACTTGGTTTGTTAGTACGCAAAAGGCGATTTCTTAGGCGAAATTTTGAGATAAATGAGTCTTTACAATTGGTTTTTTTAATTTTATGTTACACCTAATCTTGTTCTGTAGATGCGTCACGTTATTAAAAATCGTCGATTTTATCCAATTAGAAATGCGATTTATTCACGACCAATAGTAACCTGGGGGGGAAATTAGCGGAACAGCAGAGACCGTTAATGTTACACATATATTAAAACTGGTGAGGGATTATATCCATCACAATTGAATCCAACATAAATAATTTAATTTGTGATTGATCACAGGCGAGCGGGATTCACTTTGGATCGGGCGCTGTCTCTGCTGTTAATTAGCGGACTCAACTAATGAATAATCAGTTACCATCACATGACAAATTGACAGTTAGTAATTTTATGGGGCATCCACATACCATAATAAATGTAACATCTAAAAAAACCTTTGGGGTGAAATGATTGAGAAATCTTGCTCTCCCCGTCATAATTTAATTTTTTCAAGCTTGCGCTTTTTTAAAATTTGGGACACAGTACTCTGTGATAATTTTTTTTGTAAAATTACTATATTAAACTACTAGTATCGGTATGTCATAATGTTCCAACCCCAAATCGATATACAATACATTGTATTGTAAATTTATATAATGAACTAACGGTCCTTTGCCGCAGTTATCATCACATGACAAATTGGTAGTTGGATGATGGTGGGACATCCACATTTCATAATAAATATAACATCTAAAAAACCTTTGGGGTGAAATGATTGAGAAATCTTGTTCTTCCCTTCATAATTTAATTTCTTCAAACTTGTGCTTTTTTAAAAACAGTATCTATAAAGAACCTTTTTCGAAAGGTGCTTTTTTTCAAACTTTTCGCTTTTAACGATTAAGATCATATTCCTACAATTGTAATCATTATAAAATTACACCGTTATCATAGCTTTTTTTGGTGTATATAAAATATGCTTCGAACAAGAACACGTACTCATGCGACCTTAGCATGTATAAATTGTCGACAAAGACATGAAAGATGCGAAAGACTTCCTGGGAAGGATATTTGTACAAACTGTAGAGAATACAATCGATCCTGTGTTTCTATTCCTGGTAACAGACGTGGACCAAAGTCGCGCAGGCAAAATCATGAGTTTGCAAACCTCCAGCCATTTTCAAATATTAATCCTTATAGTGCAATTCAAACCCAACATTCACACCCAGTATCAAGAGTAGCTCACACTCAATATCAACCCACGACCGGTATCGAATACTCAGGCTTGACTCCAGGAGTTTGCACTCAATATCAACTCGCGCCCAGTGTCGAGAGCTATTCATACCTGATACCAGAAAAGTATCAAGAGCAACTTACGCCATGTAGTTTGTGTGGTTTATACCCAGTATCGGGAACTACTGAAGTATTTCAAAATACTCTCACTAATCAATCCTCCTCAACATCTTTTCTTTCACCCTCTTTTACACATGAAGAATCCGCGTTAAATATTGATCGTCCAACTATTAGTGATCCTTCAATTACTAATTTGACGTCATTATCTAATCCTTTTAATTACTGCTAAAATATTCGAACACGTAATTATTCGAACCACTTATCATATACTGAAAACCTCCGTTATAACCATTATAGATTATTTATATATTAAAAATTCGATTCTTTGTAATTTGTTCGTCAAACCAGTGAATCCGGTCTAAGGGTGTTCGTTATATCGGTAGTTGACAGAAAAATTTTTTTTCGATTGATATATATATATTTTTTGTCATGTTTTTTCAGCACATCTCTTCGGTGCATTCTTTTTGTTAGATTTTTCGGTATATTCACTAAAATATTTTCGTTTTCATCATAAATATCTTATTTATCGTAGATATTTTGTCATCGCAAGCATTTTTTATAAACTATTTCCTTTACGTCTTAATAATGAATATATTTATTACAAACACAAACATTTTTATTACAAACACAAACACAAACATTTTTATTGCAAACACAAACAAACACAGACATTTTTATTACAAACACAAACATTTTTTTTCGTTACGACTTATATAGCAAATTTCTCTTTTTTTATAGTATGTTGTTTTCATTGCAAAGAAAATTCTAATTAAGAAATTTTTTATTACGAGCATTTTTTTTGTTACAGCAATTTTTTTTTTTAAATCACAAATAGCAAACATTCTGTTTTAAGAGTAAAATACTTATCCGAATCTATATGAATTAAAATTTTTATGATATATGAATAATATGATAATAAATGTTAAAGAGTTTTCATAAATTTACAACAAATGATTACTGTAAAGTATACTTTTGATTCATTATGATGCTATATTTTCTAGTACAAATGAGTGTCACCAAGTGAAAACCAGGAATTCTAAAAGTAGATTGTTTTAACCCACCTAGTATCGCCACCAAAATCAGGTAGGTAAGCGCCGTTTAAACTCGATCTAAGCATTACATATAGGCTAATTTTTGGAACTTTACATTTTTCTAATCTTGAATAACTTTTGATTTACCAGTCCGTTTTAAATGGAACAACTAGCAATAATCTTTTGAAACAAAAAAAAGAAAACTTCAAAGTATTGAATCAAATTTTATACTTATTCAAAACATAGTAGATGACATTAAAGATTTCAAATGAGCAAAACAAAACCTTTTCTATAATATTAAATTTGAATTTGAATTTTTTAAAAAATAATAAATAGAGTTAAAATTAAGATAATCAACCATTTGAAAACAATAATGATATTATATTAATGACTATTCATTTAATTGTAACTAATAAATAATAAAAAATTTATATATCAAAGAGTTTTTTTACATTTTTTTAAAGTTTTCTAATTCGAATTCACTAACTTCAGTATTCGGTTCCTCATCTCTTATATATTTTGTCTGAAGTATTTGGTCGATCGTTAAATTGACTTGTATATGACCAATAATCAAACACTTTTCATAAAGCTTCTTCATCTCCATAATAAGAGAATTTTGCGAATTTTATTGTACCTAAAGTTTAGAAATTTTTAAAGAACAAAATTTATATATAATAATAAACTTTTAGAAAAACGATGCACTCATCTTGCTAAGAAAATTAACTTCATCTGCACAATGCTATCCTAATTCGGTAACCATTCAAATAATATGTATTTGCAAATCTTGAGATCCATTATGTACAAACTTTTTTCATAAACCATGTATTAAAGCTCTTTTGATTTTATATTATTTTTTTTTCTGCAACTATTATGCTTTTTTTTTGCTTTTATTTATATGAAATATACTCAAAAAGTCTTTTTTATTATTTTGAAATAAAACAATGGGTTTCATAATTAAACAGGATGAACAAGATTGTGTAAAATGTATACTATTCATCTTAAAACATTACAAAGTTCAAAAAAATTTTTTAACATAATACTCTATTACATATACAGTAGTATTAATCAAAATATCGTTTATGATATATTTCACATTAAATTTAAGCACTAATTACGTACCTGATTTTGGTGGCGATACTAGGTGGTCAGATTGTTTTAGTCAACGGAATACGTACTTTAAATTATACTAATATATGACAAAAAACAGTATAATTTATTATTTTAGTCAGATAGAATTCCTCCCGGTTTCACTTGGTGGCACCCAAATGGCCAAAAAAAAAACAAATAAACAAATGAATAAATAAATAAAGCATTAATATGCAATATTTGTAATTGTCGTTTTTATTGAAATTTTTAAATTGACCATGAATCAACATAAAACAATTTTGGACACGCCAGAGTAATTCTTGTTAAGAAGTAAATAAGATGTTAATTAACAAGCGAATGAAAAAACTTATGACAAAATATCAATACATTGGTTGTAACCAACTAATCCATTTTTTTTAAAACTCAATTTACTTAATGTTTTCCGATTAACGCAAATAAACATTTCATCTCTATTGATTTGACGCCGCCACGGTATTCCTCTACTCTATGCACTAACAATTTCTTGCGATTCTGGACTAAATTATTAAATTGCAAGATGACCATGTCATGATAAATATTATAGCTGGTTACTTTTGCATAACCTATCTCTGATATCGAATGTAGTCATGTCCAATTCATTATCATTATTGTCATGAATGATGCCAAGAAGGCTTCAATGCTTTCTTTTAGGTTGGATAGGTTTATCTTCAAAATAAATTAAATTAATTCATGTGTGCTTCTGCTTATATACATACTACAGTATTAACGTTAATGCATGAATCTGTTCAAAATAATTAAACACACGATTTAGAATATTTAAAGAACTCGAAATAGTTTCGTACATGTTTGAATTTATTTCAAAGATAACAAATAAGAATTAGAAAAAAATAACGAGATACACTAAGATAGATGGAAAAAATGGTGTCTAATATTCAATTAGTCTGCATGATCATATCTGTACGTACAGTACGTACGGTCAAAATTTTTATTCAAATACTAAACAATCTTACAGTTCGTCACTTTCTAATCACTGATACACGTATTTTGTTCACTTTATATTTGATGATACACAAGTTTCATCATTCTTTATATACTAAGCACGCAAAGTTACAATAAACTAAATATTCCGAATAAAAAGGTGTGTGAAAGGTATTTAAAATTCTTTAAACGAGTTTGTTACAATAAAAAAGTATTTGAGTTCGAGTTACGAAAGTAATTTGGAAAAAGCGGCGAAGCATGAATGTAATTAGAAAGTGCTCGAGTCATTTATCAAGCACTATCATAGTAAGCTGCCGGATAACACCGCTATGGACAGTGAATTTAATATGTTTCATTTCTTTTACAGATAATTCTCGCTATTCGACATTTCGTATGATGTGAATTTTTTTGCCATGATATTTTTTGCATGAAATTACGTAATCAGTTTTGCAAAACATCACAGAAAAACTTTAAATGGTCATATTAAATATCCAATAACATCATAACATCATTATTGAACATACGTACGACAAATAACAGGCAATTTTTTATCGTCTGCCCAATAATGTATACTTATTACCTATCAGTTCAAGATAATTGTGCTTAACAAATAACCAAACTATCTGATAAGTGTTATCATAGCGTATATAAATTTCTCAAATGATATATATATATTAATGCAGTTTAACATCAAAATTTCTCACCAGACTACCCAAAAGATAATATTCTGATATATAACATTTGGGTTTGGGTCAAAATCCCGACAAACAGAATCCCGACAGGTCATAATCCCGACAAAAAAATCCCGACAGCTAAAAATCCCGACAGTCAAAAATCCCGACAGTTAAAATTCCGACAATTAAAAACTCTGATAAAAATATAATAGACCAAAGCAAACCCTATCCCAACCATTATCTAAAGTAATCTAACCCTAAAATTAATTAAATTATAAGAGCCTATTTCGCTTTAAACATATCTCATACTTGGGATTTTCAACCTAAAAATTCTGGCTGTCGGGATTTTTAATTGTCGGGATTTTTGACTGTCGGGATTTTTTTGTCGGGATTATGACCTGTCGGGATTTTGACCCGCACCCATAACATTTACTATACCATAATTACGTTATGTTTCCAAGTTTTATTTGTTTATTAAGTATTAAAATCCTTTACCAATAACTTTAGAACAGTCCGAATTTACACATTATACATGATCGTGCTGGTTTGCGTGGTGTCACATGCTATGCAGCTACCCTAATTTATATATTCAATTATTAAGTGTTTTTGATTCAAAAAAAAAAAAAATCATGAAATTCTCACAATTATTCAGCTTTTTGCAAACAATCGGTTCTCATGCATTACTAGACATAATGTTAGAAAAGCGAAAATAAAAGAAGGATTTTGGAAATCTTTATTTGTTAACAAGAAATTTAGATTTATTCGCAGAAAAAGCCATAACGATAAATTTAAGAAATTTTGAAGATTTCCATGCGATGGTCGATCATCAGTAATTTGAAAAGCGTTGTTCAACTTGAGCTACATTTGGAATTCTGTTCCAAATTAAGTTAATTCTAAATCCACAATAATTCCGGTTTTACTAAATTACATCAATGGTGCTAACACTACAGTTGCTCAAAAACAGATAAATTAACTGATGTCAAATATGCTAAGTAAAAATGTTCTGGGATCCGGTCGAAAATCCTAACTAAAATTGAATCTACTATAGTGAAACCTCCATAAGTGCACCCTATTTAAATGCACGCTTAAATTCAGGCCAAATATATACATGACTTCCATAAATGCACTTTTTCTTATTATTCTTTAAGTGCATGTCGGTCCCAAGAGCGTGCATTTACATAGGTTTTACTGTATTGGGTACACTGAGTGCATGGGACATCGTTTAGATAGATTCAAAAAAGGTCACTGAATTTTATTAAACTTTGCCCTTGCGAAGTTTTTAAATAACGAATGGACGCTAGTATACCTGAAATGGTAAATTATTGAAATTTTTCCATATTTTTCCTAATTTGCGTCACCTATTTTTGTAATGCCCGTAGCTCATCCTTTCCAGAACGTGATGTTTAGCCAATTAGATTGAAGGATCAAGTGTAATACGGGATCGGTAAGCCACATCAGCTGATGGCTTTAAGCCGCCAGGGGTGGTTACAAAGCACCAAGAAAAGTTAGTAACCAAGGACCATCGGGAAGAAATAACCACTGGGATAGTTTTTAACCAACAAAGTAATGAAAACCTATATAAACGATGTCTCCTTGATGCTTTTTTGGATTAGAAAACAATATTCCTTTAATGTCTCTTTTAGTAATATACCTAAATAACGATGGAAGCATAATATTAATATTAGTATTAGTAATTATACTTATCCCGATAAAATCCGCATCTCCTGTACGTTAAACATAGTAATATTGCTGAATATCTTTTATCCAGCAATTAATCCGATCTTAATAGAGATAACCAAATTAGAATCAGTAATAAAATACCTTATTTAACATAAAAGTTCCACGCATATACTCACCTTTTGTGACTACAGATACGTATCCACTCGATTGTTACAACGCCACACTATATGCTACGTATATTAGTAAGCATAAATAAAGAAATCCTACAAGTGATACAAAATTACAATTCTGGAACCGAGTAGATTTACGCGTGGTTATCTTTTAGATTCTATATAAATAATTGACGAAATGTACAAGAAAAATTCCAAGCTTTTGCTTTCAGACTTTAGTCCTTTCAACATTTTCCTTTTTAAAGTCAAACAGCCATCATAAATTATATTCCCACAATCGTAAGCATTATAAATTACCATTGTCATCTTCGAGGTTACCCCTTTATTGGTGTATATAAAATAATGCCTCGACAAAAAACACGTACTAATACGACCTTAGCATGTATGAGTTGTCAATGGAGACATGAAAGATGCGAAAGACTTCCCGGAGAGAACATCTGTATAAGCTGTAAAGAACACAATCGACTCTGTGTTTCTATCCCTGGTAACAAACGTGGACCAAAGCCGCGCAGACAAAATCTTGGGTTTGCAAACCTCCAACCTTTTTCAAATATTAACCCTTATGGTGCAACTCAGATCCAACATTGGGAACAGTTTATGCCTAGTATTGGAAATGGCTCACACCCAGTATCAAGAGCATCTTACACTCAATACCAACTTACGCCTAGTATCGAGAGCTACTCATGCTTGACACCAGAAGTTTATACTCAGTATCAACTCATGCCCAGTAACGAATGCTATTCATATTTGACACCATGGAGTAACCTATACCAAATAGCTTGGGCAGATTATATCCATAATCAATCCTCCTCAACATCTTTTCTTTTGAACACGAAGAACCCACGCTAAAGATTGATCCTTTAACTATTCATGATCCTTCAACCATTCATAATTAGTGATGTGCCATTTATATGATAGTCTAATTTTTTTCGCGTACAGTACATATAGTATTTTATATAGTGCAACAGGAAGAAACTTAAGCACGTGACAAAATTGTAGTTAAAAGTCTGGAACCTTTAATATGTCATGATTGACATATAAAAATAGAATTTAGTAAGTGTTATTTCAAATTTACTCAAGAAAAAATTTTTGTAGAGACAATTATATAATATTTTTAGTTGTTAAAAAAAATATAAGCGAAAGTCATAATCATATAAATAAGTGTATGAATTAAATTGAAGTCAGATTAAAATAAAATTTGTATAAGAATGACAAGTTATTAAAAAATAAAATTTTGAGTTGTATATTTTTGATTTTTTTTAATATTAAAAGTTAGTCTTGAAAGTAAAATTTATAGAAAACAAACATAAGATTTTAAAAAGTGAAATAAAAATTCTAAATTTGATTTTAATTTGGTTTTATTATAATCTATAACAATAAGTATAATTAATTATAATTTTTTTGATACATTAAATAATTATATTAGTAAAACTCTTAATATATAAAACCTTTTATATTTTATATAATTAAAAAAAGATAAGTTAATTATACTATATCAGCAAACTGGTTTGTTATAAACTTTATGTAATTTTATAAAATTATATAAATATTGGTTTTTTTTTGAAATTAAAGTAAGGTTTTGCTTATATTTTTATTAATTTGTTGAAAATGCTTTTAAGAACTTCTTTGAATATAAATTACAAAATCTATTCTAATTACAAATTTATTACAAAAGTAAAGCTCAGACTATAGAAAGAAACTAACTGTTATCTATTTAATTTATCTGTAATCTAAACCTACCAATAGTTAAAACTCATTTAGATTTGATAGTATAAAATGTTGTTTGTAGAGTAACTATAAAGTATTTAATAGTTAAGTCATATATTAATTTTGTATAAAATATGACCAAGTAGTAAGCAAATATTTGAATCAGTATGTTTTTTTTTTTTTTTTTTTTTTTTTAACATTAAAGTCTCTGCCTTTGAGAATCGATTTTTTTATTCAAGTATTTAGACACAGATGCCTTTAGAGGCTTTCATACATAGGAGGTTACAACTAGCTACATGTGCACTTTTGGTGCCTAATTTAAGTAGTCCGCTTATACATTACTATACAGGTTTTACATTAGGTGTTATACCTGCAAGCCAACTATAGATCTTGCTTATTTAAATCCTCTGCATATATAATCTGACTTGTAATTATAAGGACATTTTCTGGGTTACATCTATTCAAAGTACCTGATACTTTCAAGACTCTTAGGATTAGTTTATCTTTAACAGGAAACTTACTAGAACCTTTCATGTTTTACACATAGCTAATTTAGTTTTATGCAACATGCTTTAGTTATTTAATACTTGTAGTCATAAGGGTTACCTGTTTAACTGTTATATTATACTATTTTTACCTTTGTAAAGTTTATTAGAACCTCAGTACCTATTATCATGATGTCTATTTCATTATCCTTTACTAACTGCTACTTAGGACCAACAGGACTCTTCTGATTTCCAATCCAGATAGTTTAGTATAGTATACTTATGTATTCTTTTCCTTCAGTGATTCTGGCAGCCTGGTTGGTTATATGCTCTTCTACACATCTTGATATCCAGTTTATCCATCTATCTCTTTAGAGGTGGTTCATGGGCTTCCATTAGTCTGATCATACTATTGAAAATTTATACTACCTTTTTATTTGAGAATTTTCAAGTAGGTTTCTGACTTTTCAGTTCTTTAGTTTACTGCACCTAATGGTCTTATCATGGGTTTGCACTAAAGTCTTATGCAACACCAGTTATTAATATTACTCTATATACATGTAACATCACACTTGGCATAGATGCTCCAAGATTTCATTCGAGATGATGTAACTTAAGATTACAAATACACAAATCCAACTGATCATTAAGAGATGTTTGCTGTAATACAGGTTAATTTTCAAATTTTGTTATAGGTAGGATTTGAACCTTAGATCTGCTACTTAAAGAATGACAACCTGACCATTACACTAAGATCATCATCCTTGGATCAGTATATTTTAAGCTTGATAGTTCATATAAATTACTAGTTGTATTATATAATTAATTCTTGTTATTTAATAAATATCTGGGAATATAGAATATTCTATAGAATAATAGTAAAATTATATGGCTTTTGGCCATATAGTTTACTATTATTTTATAGAAAACTGTGTATCTACAGATATTCATTAAATAACTAAATTATTCTATAAGTACAATATAATAACCTATGCAACATATTATTGAATTAATCTTTTTTTCTTTTTAAGAGTAGAAAAAATCTCTCATTTAAAGAATATCATCAATTATTTATTAACTATTAAATATTGCTATAACCATTATATGAACTATTGCCAAGACCATTACCTGTATCATTCTGTATAAAACATTACTAGAATTATAAAAAAACTATTACTATAATACTAAACATTTCATTAAGTCAATTAAATAATAAAGAAATTTAATTATTGAATAAATAATAAATTAAAAGAAGAAATTAAGTATTTAAAAAAAGCTAGTTTTTTATCAAATAACAATTTTAAAAATCTTTCTCAACAATGACAATTTAAAAAATTTAAATAAAATTGTTTTTAGTACATAATAATTCAAAGAACTAATCTAAATAAAATTCTTTCTAGTATATGACAATTTAAAAAACTAAAGTCTAATAAATCTCTTTCAAGCATATGATATTAATAAAGTTTTCCTAGTACATAACAATTTAAAGACTAAAACTTAATAAAGTTCTTTCTAGCACATGACAATTTAAAGAATCTAAATAAGTTTTTTTTAGCACACAACAGTTTAAAAAACTAAAGACTAATAATGTATTCTTAGCATATAACAATTTAAAGACAGAAAACCAAATAAAATTTTTTTTAGTATACAAAGTTTATATATATAGCATGATTATTTATGACTAGATTATTCATATTAGTTTATATTAATTATAAGATTTTCATATAAACTAATAAAAATAACTTTATCAAAAAAACACAAATTGTTACATAGTACTTATAGAATAAATGTCTATTAATATAGTATATATCATTATAATTGGTTTATGTAGATCTTTTTTGTTTATTTTTAGTATATTGTAAGATGTTGTTATCTTTTATTATTATACTAGTTTTATTTTTATTTTTATTTTTGATAATAAGGTGAGGTCTTGCTTATATCTTTATTAATAATTTAAAATAGTTACATGTATATATGCTATGACTGAGGCCAATACTTGCAGTTAG